TCAGAGGCCTTCCGTTTTTGTGAAGAGTCAACTTGAAATACATCAAATGTTACATTTGGGATGGGGCGTTTGGCTCTCCCTCCATCCGCAGAGAGCTTCTAATGACTTCTGGATGAAACACAGGATCAGGGACTTATAAGGTTTCTGTTTAACTTTAGCTTTAGGTTTACAAAAACCAGGACAGATGTACAGAGTGCCTGTCTGCTCCCTTCCCTACTGTCAATGTCTTGCTTTAACCAAGGTCCACACTTCTCCATGGACTAAAGTCCACTGTGCACCTGAGGCTTTGCTCCTTCTGTTGTGTGACTTCCTGCATTTTGACAAAGGCATGGCCCAGTGACAGCATCGCATCCCAGCCACGAACCTCCTGTGTGCTCCGTCTGCTTGTGGATGTAGAGAGGGGTCTGGCATGAAGTGATAATCGGTTGTCGACTGCCTTTTTTGAGGGTTTGGTTGTGTATTTTGGGGAGAGTGTAGCTAATATTTCTGGAAAGGAAAGGTAATTAGAAAATGGAAAAAAAAAAAGCCCTGCAGTTTCTAGTCTTGGGCATGGGTTTGAATTTTCTGGGCAATCCATCTTCTGATTTCTGAACATTGTCTATTTCTTTTGCTAATTTTGTGGTTGAAGTTATTTTCTTCTTCTATTTGTTTTTGTACCAGGGATTAAACCCAGGTGTGCTTTACCACTGAGTCATATTCTCCAGCCCTTTTAAAAACATTTTATTTAGAGACAGAGTTTTGCTAAGTTTCTGAGGGCCTAAGTTGCTGAGCTGGCTTTGAATTTGTGATCCTCCTGCCTCCACCTCCCAAGCTGCTGGGGTTACGGGCGTGCACCACTGCGCCCAGCTGAAGTTATTTTCAATCCCTAGAGTTATGATATTCAGTTTGCTCCTCCTCAGCCCTTCTTTACCTTACTATAATTAACAAAACAGCATATGTACATGTGGGAAACAGGGAGGAAAAGACAGATGGCAGAAATTTAAAATGATGAATATTATGAGCATGCAGTACTATCATTGTTAAGAATAGCTAAAACACTAGATTTTGACGAGTACTCATGAAGGGTTTTTAAGTTTATCATTTTGCTCTTTAACATCTTACAAGGTAAAATGTGTCTTCACCCAGATTTTACAGAAGAGACAGTGAGCCTCAGAGACATCACATGATGGGCAGAAGTTGGCAGGACTTTCGAGGGTGTTCCTGAGATTGCCGCCCAGTTCCCACAGGTCAGTCCCTCCTTCCCTCCTTATTTATTGTTTCTTGTGCCTCAGCCTTTTCTGGGTTGGAGGTTCCCTTGCTGTCATCTGGAACTTGGCCCTTCCCCAGCTGGTCTAGGCAGACAGAGGGAAATGGGATTCTCCAGACAGAGAGCGTCTACAAGGCTGCCCTGGACAAGAGCAGGCCTGCTGTCCCAGGGAGCTGAGGTCAGCCCACCATGGAGTTCCCAGGCATTTGTTCATTTGGCCACAGGCTCTGCCCAGCACCAGCAGGTTTTCAGTATGATGGGAGGTATGGCTGTGTTTGATTCACCTGCCATCACCCTGTGAGCACTGGCACATGGGTGAGAGTCTCAGGGTGAGAATCCTGGCTCCAGGGTTCCCAACCCACCAGGTCTGCCACCCATTTCAAGGTGCCAATCAAAGAGATAAGCAGTGATTCAGGGGAGGAGCCTGCTGGAAAGGCAAGGGGGTCCATCCCCTCAGCCTGTCTTCAGCAGAGGGGACTGACGAGAGCCTCACAGGGAAGGAACAGAGTGGGCGCACAGAGGCGTTCACAGGTGACCTGTGTGGACTAGCAGTGGTCGGGTAGACGTTGTGTCAGGGTGTTTGGGATGGGTCTTTCCTGTGATGAGAAAGTTGCTGTTGCCTGGAGAACAAGAAATGGGATTCACTGGGGCTTGTTGTCCTGGAATCCGTGACTGCAGGAGAGCCTGCTCAGAGCAGAGGAGACAGGCACAGAGTGGGGGCAGGAGTGGGGTTTTTTTGTCCTGTTTTGTTACCATGAGCAGGCCCAAGCAAAGGGTCCATGATTTTAGCAAGAGCAGCCTCTAAGTTCTGTGCTGCAAGAGCACAAATCCTGCAAGCACCACGCAGGGGTGGCCCAAGGGCCTGCAGTGTATGCCTGGTTTCCCTGACTGGATCTATAATCCAGGCCAAACACTTCCCCAGATGTCAAGCTTCCTAAAAGAAAATGGTATTGAATCATTGACCACAATCAGGTATCCAGTGAGAAACTTAATGATGTAGAGAAGAAAAACATGCTGGCCATGATTTCTCTGGAAGGCCCGAGAGGATGGAAACATCCTTCCCACCACTAATATCTACAAAGAGGTTCGACGTGACCAACAATCCTAACTAATCGCAGAGGGCGCTGGATCATGATTATGGAGATTGCTAGATTAATGGACACCTCTTTTCCAACTCCCTCTCACTTCCAAAGCAATGATCATTTGCCCCATAACAAATATAATGGAGTAGAACCTTTCACAGTTGAAAGCTTAGGCTTTGAATTTCTGAAAAACTCACGATTCATTTTTTTCCAGAACCAAATTTAGACAAAGGAGGGATGTTTTCAGTTGCCACTCAAAGAAAGGATACTTGGATCCTCACAACCCCTGTGAGTCTGCACGGGCTTTCCTTGGAGGGATTACAGTGCATCAGTCACTTTCAGATGGTGACGTCCCTAAATTCTCCACGTATTCTGCCAATGGATAGTTTAAATGGACAGTTTAAACAATGTTGTGATGAAGCCATCAAATATGTGCAGGGTGTACAATATCAACCCGACATCTGGGGACATTCTCTGCATGAGCTGCAATCAGAGAAGAACTGGAATCGGTGGAACAAAGAAAGAGCACGTCAGTGTTCCCGGGGACCCTGGTGTCACCGCCCTGGTGTGCATGTCCCCATGATGACAGGCCTCTGATGGAAGGGATGCTGAGGCCCACTCTGCAGAACTGGCCTTGGCAGCTGTGGCCAGCATGGCCCACATTGTTCACGGTGCCCCTGGACCACGAGCTGGTGGTCAGAGTCCACCCTTCACCGCAGCGCAGGCCCCTCGACGGCGGGCCCTCACCCTCCTCAAGGCCCCCATCACATCCCTGTTCCTCAGACTGTAGATGAGAGGGTTTAGCAGGGGCGTGAGGATGGTGTAGAAGGCGGAGAAGACCTTGTCTTTGAGTGGGGTGTGGTAGGCCTGGGGAAGCATATACGTGTACAAGGCGGCCCCGTAGAACAAGGTCACCACCATCATGTGTGACGAGCAGGTGGCGAAGGCCTTCCTCTTCCCCTCGGCCGACCTCATCTGCTGCACGGTGAGGAGGATCTGGGCGTAGGAGGCGACCACCACTGAGAAGGGGACCAGCAGCATCATGACACAGCAGACGTACATCACCGTCTCATAGGCAGCCTTGTCACCGCACGCCAGCCTCAGCATGGTGGGTGCCTCGCAGAAGAAGTGGTTGATCTTGTGGGAGGCACAGAATGGGAGACGCATGGTGATGGGAGTGAGGAGGAAGCTGTCCAGAGCACCACCAGACCAGGAGCTGCCCAGGATGAGCCAGCAGACGCGGCGGCTCATGAGCACCGGGTAGCGCAGCGGGCTGCAGATGGCCACGTAGCGGTCATAGGCCATGAGGCCCAGCAGGAAGAACTCGGCCCCCACAAAGCCCATGTAGAGGAAGTACTGGGCAGTGCAGGCCACGAAGGAGATGGTCCTCTGGCCCCGCAGGTAGTCCACCAGGGTCTTGGGCACAGTGGTGGAGATGTATAGCATGTCGATGAGCGACAGGTGGCTGAGCAGGAAGTACATGGGCGTGTGCAATTGGGGGTCCACATGGATCAGGAAGATCATGACCCCATTGGCCGTCATGGCCACGAAGAAGATGATGGAGATGATGGCGAAGAGGAGGCCTGAGACCCTAGTGTTAGGGAAGAGCCCCACCAGCGTGAAATCGCTGGAGAAGCTCCTGTTTCCATCCATGGGGTTGTTTGACCTGGGCACAGAGAGAGAGAGAGAGAGAGAGAGAGAGAGAGAGACGCGTGGAGCTGAGGAAGGTCACGGAGGTGAGGGAGGGGGGTCGTGCAGACGTGCCTGTGTAACAAGCACCAGCAAGTTAGAGTTCTCTGTATAACTAGACATTAGGCACTTTTTGGTGAGCTGGATTTTCAGTTACCTTTTGCTGAAGAGCAACTAGAAAGTTTGTTTCCCATGGAATGCAGACAGGGGACACCTGGCAACTGCTGCTCAGTGTGAGAGAGTTATGGCAGAATACCAGGGTTCCAGAGAGGGCTCTTCCCTCGGAGAGGGCTCCCATTACTTAAGATGTCCATATAACTGCTGGACAATTGATTCAATCAAACAGTCAAATAATTTAGTCAGGTCTCTGGCCAATTTGGGAATTTTCATCACCATTTTAAAAGTGATCTGCCTCATTTACAAACAACCATTAAGTTGAAGACACAGATAGAAGCTGTGGTGAGCATCAGAGAAGAGGCTGACCTTGTCCATCGGATTGCGGGCCGTGGCCATCAGCTCCTTCCCCACTCACATGTCAATTTCACATTCATTCCCACTGCAAACCTGCATCAAAGAGACACTGCTAGTGACAGCCTAGTGAGTGGTAGAGAGGGTTCCACACACCTCGCATCCCTGTTATGGGAGAAACAGAGCAGGCAGGAGCCAGGGGACAGGCTTCCCACAGAGCCAGCAAGGACTGTGGGGACAGCTGTCCTCCGGACAGTGAGGGATGGCATGGAACAGCCCCAAAGGGCACAGGGCAGGTGAGTGGCAAAGGTGACAGCCCAGGTAATGGAGCCAGGTCAGCAGGGAAAGAACGGGAAGTGCAGGACACAAGAGCACTAAGGGATAGCGAGGTACTGGGGCAGCTCTTCAAGGCAGCTGGGCAGGGAAAGGAGGTCAGAGTTGTTTGTGAAAATACTGTGAGTAGAATTAAGTGTCACTTCAAAAGTCACGACTACCTGCTTAACCTTTACCATATGTTCATTCTGCTCTTTAAAAAAAAACTGTCCCTTTTGTACATTTGAGCCCCTTTTTTGGTTTGTTTTAAATCAATGTTACATCTTTGTGGTTCTTACAGGTTTGCAAGAGGAAGACACATCTGGGTCAGACGGGGGCAGTCCAGGCTGTACCTTCTGTCCCGGGACCTTTCGTCCCATCCCCTTTCCCTCTCATAAGACTCCTGGCCTATCAGTCGCAAGACCTAGACATGGTGACTGGTGAATGTGTCTGGAGGGCCTCGAAGACCAGAGGACACAGCACACCTCCCGGAGCCCCAGAAACCGAAGGGACATCCAGGCTGTGGGTGGCACATCCACATCTTGAATATATAATGAAAACAAGAAAATCCCTTAAAGGATCCCTCAGACTGGACAAAGATGACTGGGAGGGGACCCCAGAGGCCACAGGCAACAAAAGGACCTCAGCACCGCAAATGGCAAACAGGCGTGTGGAAGACGTGCAGTGACCTTTGTGCTCTGGGAAACGCCCACGAAACCACCTGGCAGCAGGGTCTCACCTGTCAGGATGGCATTGACCCCAAACGAGCGCTGGTGAGGACGCGGAGAAAGGGCCTTCTGTACGCGGGCATGGGAAAGACATTAGGACAGCTGGGATGGGCAGTGGGGCGGAGGCGCCTCAGAAAAATTGAAACCGGAGCTGCCGTGTGCCCAGCAATGCCAATGCATGGTACTCACCCAAGAAACAATGGCCAGCGTGCTGAGGAGAGGCCACACTGTCCCCCACAGGACAGGAAGTCAATCTGGCCTCCAGGAGTGAAGGGACAGGCCGGGAACGGTGGATGTGGACAGAAGGAATATCATTTATTCATAAAAACCAAGAGGCCCTGCCAAATGTGGCAATCTGGATGAACTAGTGGGAGGTTATGCTAAGCCACCCACGTCAGCAGATGGGTGGTCAGCAGACGCCATGTCACAGCCACATGCCAAGAGTGTGTTCTGGAGAGCTGCCGGAGGTGACCGACTGGCCACCTGTGCAGTGCATGTCACGGCAGAGGGAAGAGAGGATTTTGGTGGCTTTCCACAGAGAGAAAGGAAGTATGCTTGGTGAGATTATGTGGGAATCCCCCTGGTTTTATTGCTACACAGCACAGATGTACCAAACCTGCTCACTGTGCCGGGTACATATGTAAGTGTCTGCAACGTATGGATCAAAAAGGAAGACAGAGCCTGGTGTGGTGGCTCACGCCTGTAATCCCAGTGGCTCAGGAGGCTGAGGCAGGAATAATGTGAGTTCAAAGCCAGCCTCAGCAATGGCAAGGCACTAAGCAACTCAGTAGGACCCTGTCTCTAAATAAAATACAAAATAGGGCAGGGGATGTGGCTCAGTGTTCGAGTGCCCCTGAATTCAATCCCCAGTACCAAAAGAATAAAAAGGGAAGACAGTCTGAGAGACACTGGGGTGGGGGAGCAGTCAGATATGTCCCTATGTTTGTGTAGGAGCGCTAGTCTTATTTAAAATTAAGTAAGAAGAGGGAAGAAAGTAATATTATTATTACTAGTGAACACTAAACTTATTTAAAATGCATATGTTAAAATGCAAACATGATTAGAAAAACTGCATAGAACTCAAGGTATTCTTAACAGCTGAGTGTGTGTGAGCACATGTGTGTGCCCAGCCCGGTTTGCAGAAGCAGCGCAGCAACCCCAAGAGCCAAACGTGTGACACAGAGCAGGGTGAGCTGAGGTTCCTGAAAGCCCCTCCCCCACTCCTCCCCCACTTATCACCAGCTGGTTGCTAGGTGGGGGTCACTCCAGAGTCCCTGTCCCCAGCGTCCCCTCTGCACAGACGCAGGGGAAGGGAACACAATCAATTTCTACGTGTTCACCAAGAGTCCACCACTGTTCTCTCAGTGAAGTAGTCAGAAACGGTAGGTTTTTACTTACAACTCCAACAAAAAGCCACATGGATGAAAATAATTCTGAAGAGCACTAACACAATCAGTGGCATTAAAAGAAGACCAGGATGCATGTGTGTGTGTGCACACATGAGTTCTAAGATCCTGGAGAGTATGAAAGCAGCATGGACTGTCAGAGTTCAGGAGATTTAAGAAGGCGCTCAATGAGATTAGACAGAAAACAGCTGTGGTAATCCCAGCTACAACCTGACACAGAGTGAACAACCCCTTTCCAATCATAGTAGGCTCACTCTTCAAAGAGAGCAAAAGTAAAAAGGTTCAAAATGGAAAGGAAAGAAGATGCAGAACTAAGAACAACGGAAACACGCAGAGTTTCTAATCTAAGGTCATGTTATACACGGAGCAACGAAGAGTTCTGAGTTTTAAATAAAATTTTAAAAAATTTGAGTTTTAAATAAAAATTTAAAAAAGTTTTAAAAATAAAAAAATATGCTCAATACATTAAGTTGGTTCCCATCGCATATTTTTTTTTCACAAAAATATATTATAACTCTTAAAATAGCAGGTTCACACCTAAGTCAGAGAGGTTGAACACTACCTAGGACAAAGGAGATTGAAACTTCAGTAATGCAACTACCTCATGTGGGAAAGTTCTGAGATGTTTGGAGCTGTTGCAGAAATACTAGGTGATGCAAGCAAGCTCTAACCCAGTCCTTCAGAAAAGCATCCACACACAGATCCCAAGAACAAGGGAAGGTCTGACCACAGGTATGAGAAGAACAGCAGGGTATTGACAGCATGAAATGCTACTTCAACTTCACATTAATATAGTCAGAAATTCAATGAAAATGACTTAAAGTATATATTATGTATATGTGTGCATGTGTACACAGCATGTGTGTGTCCTAGAGATAATGCTCACACATTCACACATACATATATATGTGTGCCAAGAATATAATAAATAACTCCTCCAGATTTGGAAAAACTGGACTTTTTGTAGTAGAATTGAACACAGTGGGGCTCTGTCACTGAGCTATATCCTCAGCCCTTTTTGTTATTTATTTTTGGTGTCAGGGATTGAACTCAGGGGCACTCAACTACTGAGCACATCCCCAGCCCATTTTTGTATCCCCAGGGTCTCACTGGGTTGCTTAGTGCCTTGCTGTTGCTGAGGCTGGTTTTGAACTTGCAATCCTCCTGCCTCAGCCTCTTGCCTTCTTATTTTTGAGACAGGGTTTCATTATATTGCCCAGGCTGGTCTCAAACCTGTTATTCTCCTGCCTCAGCCTTCTGAGCAGCTGGGAATATAGTCCTGCATCCCCCTGCCTGAGATAAAAAATTTGGAACCTTTTCATAGAGATATTCTTTCTCCCTTAAAGGTCAGAAAGCATCCGCTAAGATCTTCTAAGAGAAAACTTCAAAATTGTTGCAGTATGTAGAAAGATATGGAAGTAATTCACATTTATTTTATAACCCGGTAGAGTTTCCAAAAGATAATACCTTCCATAAATATGAACCAATCGCTGAAAAGTCTATGGCTGTTTTTTGAGTGAATAGCAGAGATTAATTCCAGCAGGGCACAAATCTGCCAGGCTGCTCAGATAATCCCACGGCCTCTTCTCTGTGGAGCCTCTGTGAGCAACATGAAGTCCTGAACATGAAGTTGCCAGGCTAAGGACCTGGTTGCTCAGGGCTTGGCCACACTTGCCTCCTGCCAGGGAGCCTGGGCACTGTTCTCCCCCCATCTGGTGACTGTGGTCTTGCACCTCAGCTCACACTGGTCCTGCAGGAACCCACTGTGGTGTCAAAAGTGCCTCAGGTGCACCACATCAACAAGCACTCATTTATACCCTCAACCAAGTAGCAACAGAACATTTCTATATAACAGTAGCAAAAAAATGATGAAGTAGCTTATAACTGACTAAACTAGGGGAAAATTACAAAGTAACAAAATGCAATCTTAATGAAAATACCCACAGGAATTTTCCTAGAAAAAGCAAAATGATTCTAAATTTGATCTGAAAGGTCCAGCATGTATTAATTGTGTAAGAGGACTTAAAAAAACTGCCTACAACCCTGTGGG